AGACAGGCACTAGAGGGCGGGACCCTTCCCCAGACAGGCACTAGAGGAAGAGAACTGGAGCAAGGCAGCTGAGCACTGACCTTCAGTGTTCTCTGCTGCTTCCAGCTCCTGCCCACCACCTTGCCTTTCCTGCTGTGACAGGCTTTGCTTTGAACTGTGAGCCAGAACAGGCGATTTTCCCTTTTGTTCCTTTTGCCAGAGGATTTTTGTTTTGTTTTTGTTTTATCATAAACCATAACTAAGATACTGAAAGTCTCTTTCTGTGGCCTCTGGAATTCTGGCTGGACGGCTCAGTCTTTAGAAGGCAACTCGTCCTTCTTCAGGACCTTTGCACGGGTGTTCTGCTTCTTCTCAGGGTCTTTGCACTGGCTTTTTCCCTAACTTGGAGGCTTTCCTTTCCTTGATGCTTTCTGCTTTCATCCTGGACGTTTTTCAGATTTCAACTCCATGTCATTGTCTGTAAGAAACCTTTCTCGATCTTGTTTCCAGGTCAGGTATTTTTGCTACAGGTTCATATAACTTTGCTCCAAACATTTCCTTTGGGTGTGATTATACCCTGGTTTGGGCAATTAGTTGACTATTGTCTTCCTCAACATATAGGAGCTTCAAAAACCCAGGTAATTTGTTTCTGTTCTACTCATGACAACATCTGCAAGTATGGCACCTTAATACAGTGAAGGAAAGTCAATGCACAGATGTCCAGTAAATGAATAGTTAACGGAATTAATGAGTTACAAATGATGGTTTGGCTGCATCTCAAAGTTATTCAAAAGAGATCCTGTTTTATTCAAAAATTATTTAAAATTTTCTCTTCCACCTTATACCAGACACAGACATAAACAAGAACTTACCTCATTTTTTGTCTTGTGAAATTAATGTTCCTAGGAAAGACATGTCTATCTGTACACAGCCATGTGTCCATTCTGGTGCCACATGTCTTTCCAGACAAATATGAGTCCTCCATGCGGCAGCTGAATGATGGAAGCTGGGATCCTGGAACCTTAGTGGATATTTGGGTCTCAGTGAAAGTATTAGAATCATGGATGCAGAAATTGCATGTTCCCCAAATTTACAGAAATATGTGATCTTTTGATTTCTATTTTAAGAAAACCAATTCATTTTTCTATCACCTTAGAGAAGGTTGAGGATACTTCCTCTCAGGTTAGATTCCTCGGTGGGCTGGCTGTTGACAAGCTGAACCTTGCTTTTCTCATCTGCAAAATGGGAATTAAGAGTTGCTGTGAAGGTTTAATATAAGCACAATATTCAGTACTGGGTCTTGGCTGTGGAGAGAAGTTACGGACAGTTAGCTGGTGTTAATACATTCATGTCTTGGAATTCTGGAGAAAAAAGAAAGCCGAGATACCACCTTTAACCTGCAAAGGATGGGATTCAAGACAAGACACTTCTGTTCACTAAATTCAGGGATGTTCTGATGTATTCATTTAATTGTCTCTCTTCAGATGTGGTTGAATCAACAGCTTTGGTTGTTTGGTTGAGAAGACAAATTAGCAAGAAAGCACTTTTGTTCAACAACAGCGACGAAGTGGCCGATTTTGTGAAATCCAGGCCCTTGGTCATCGTTGGCTTCTTCCAGGTACTGGGGTGGAGAGGTGGGAGGTTATTTCCGAGTGGTGAACACTGTGTGTGGGGAGGTTTTGGGGGAAGGAGGGTTCTAACTTGGACAGGGTCCTTGCTCAATCTTCCCATTCACTGAGCTGGTGTTTCCAGAGAGCTCCTGGTTCAAATGAAGAAAGAGAACATAAAAGTTGAAATGTTAGAAGTTAGAGGATGGAAAAAGAAATGGAGAGAGTAGGAGGAAATTGACATCCCTATTTAGTTGGTTTTAACACTGGAACTCTGGAGGATCTATTTAGAATATCAGAAGCTAAGAAAATGTCTTTATTTTCTGGCTCGAGCATGGTTTTAACTATAATTCTAACAGGTGCCTAAGAATAACAAATGCTTAGGCTAAGCCAGTCTCTAGGGATCAATCCTCATCCAGATCCAGTGGGGAAGATGCTTGGGAAAGCACATAAATAATTTAAATGTGACTATGAAATGTCTTATGATCACTATTTATTGATTTTATTCTTTACGGTTATAAATGTTACCAAGCATGTCTGCTTGTGGAGAATGAGTTTTTCATGTGCCCTGACTGATTTCCTTTGGATTGACAGTTCTTCATCTCTCAATAGGCATCAGTCTTTGCTATCGTATTTACATGAGGAGTGTGGAGAGCTCTTTCTTTTCTGCTTTCCCAAGAGGATTTTTGCCCCAAATAGTCTTTCATGCTGAATGCTGAACCTCAAAGGCCAGAAGTGCAGCTGCATCTCAGTAACAATTCACATTTGCTGTTGTGTACAGTCAAATCAAATCACTTCTGAAAGTGATTCAGAAGTTAATTTTAAAAATACTCTAATTCATGGGTTAGAACAACTTTTAATAATAGGAAAAAGTGAAGATACACTGTTTTTGCCATTGCTCTCTGAGAATTTGCCATGTGTGGTTCAGTCATAGCTAGAGGAACAGTCTAGGTGGGAAACATCCATGAAAGGAGACTTAGATCACCTAGCAAAACCCCAGAACTTAGAAAAACAAAGGCATAGATGGAGTATTCTTTCTACATTCCCCTCAAATTAGCCAGGTACTGTTGCCTCCTCCAGAGAATCATGCGATGGTCTTTTCCAAACAGGATTTAGAGGAAGAAGTGGCAGAATTGTTTTATGACACCATCAAGGACTTCCCAGAACTAACGTTTGGAGCAATACAAATAAAAAATTCCTTTGGACGATTCCATGTGATCCTTGACAGCGTCCTGGTGTTTAAAATGGTAGGTCTTGGCCCTAACGGTCATGAGGGACCTTTCACTTCACACTAAGTAACAGCATTTGGGAACAGGCTGTGGTTCCATTAGCTATGACCTAAGTGTCACTGTATTAGTTGACTTGTGAGAAATCTGTTTCCTGGGTCCCCAGACTTCCCAGCTTCTCTGCCTTTGCCAGTATCTATCATACATGGAATTTGGGAAGTCCCTTCACAAACCCTATTAAACTTCTTTTAACTGTATTCTATCTACATATCTAAAGTTCTGCAGAATAAACCGATTATAAAATCAAAAGCCAAATAGCAACTATGGAAAATACGTTCCAGGTATTTTTGTATTTATTAATGATAAATACATTTATTAAGTACTTGGATTCTGTATTATACCTACAAACATAGAGATGTATTTTATTTAAGAATTAATTTTATTATTATATTTTTTATTTTGAAATTATAACTAAATAATTTACCCCTTTCCTTTCTCTATCCAACCCCTTATGTGTACTCTTTTTCCTTTCTCAAATTCATGATCTCTTTTTCTTTAGTTATATATATGTACACACACACACACACACACATAATTAAATGCATATGTAAAACCTTCTCAGTCCATATAATGTTATAAGAAGGTATATGTAAAACAGTTAAGCACTGAACACTATGGTTAGAGTAGTTTTAAATCCTGGCTCCAGGGTTGGGATTGATCTTCTGGTTCTGGGTTTGCCTTTGTATCCCTGATGCCTTCAGCCACTGTTTGGTGGCAGTATGTCATGGTTCCAGTCTTAGTTCAAGAATCTTGGTGGATTTCCACCAAGAGCACAGCAGCTGCCGACAGCCAGTCACATTCTCTATCACACACACAGACTGATTTGCTCAATGTTCATATCTATTAAGTGCTTGGGTTATGTATACTCCTAACAATATCCTCTGTGCTTTACTTTCATGCCAGGGTGGGGATGGGGGTGGGGTGGGGTTGTGCTATGTACATCTCTTAGGTGTATATATGATGAAAGCTACCGCCATCTAACATGCTTTTCCTCTGGCTCAAGGGAAGAGTCATGAAACGTCAAGAGCTTATCAACGACAGCACAAACAAAGACCTCCTCAATCAAGTCATAAAGCAGCAGCTCACAGGCTTTGTGATTGAATTAAACTCTGAGGTCTGTGACAAAGGGGTCCAGGAGGACAGCGGGGACCCTTGCGTGTACTCTGAATGACACTCTTCTCTTGCCATTTCAGAATAAGGACTTGATTTATGAACTGAACGTCTTGAATCACATGTTGCTGTTTATCTCCAAAAACTCAGAACCGTACAGCACCATAATCCGGCATTACAGACAAATTTCAAAGGAATTCCAGAACAAGGTTTGTAGCTGATCTCATTGCTGAAAGCTCTTTAATGGCACCCGAGAGCAGCATCACTCTGAGGGTAGTTGTCTTTTCTACTCATTATAAATTAATTCAGGAATTATGTGCATATAATTTGCATAGATAGCTCACAATTTATATATCAATGTTACATAATGTTTACTATTTTATTTTAGATGAGCCTGTCTCATTCTTCCTTTGTGAGGAGCCAAGTCTATGGTCTTTCATTCATCTTAGTAAATATTCTAAAGGTATTTCTTTCAAGTCTATGTTCTACAGAGACTCTGACTTCAGTGTAGAAAATACACTCTCAAATCAATGAGCTAAAGCATATTTCTCAGTGCTTGTAACTGCTATCAGTAGCATCCGTGGAAAGAAATCACCTCTTATCCCTCTGCCTGTGTGTAATGACTTACTACATCTGGACTATGAAAGGTCATCTCTTATCCCTATGACTACGTGTAGCACACTTACTACATCTGAACTATGAAAGGTCATCACTTATACCCTATGCTTATGTATAATGGCTTACTACAGCTGGGCTATGATAGGTCACCTCTTATCCCTCTGCCTATGTGTAGCAACTTACTGCGTCTGGACTGTGAAAGGTTTTTTGGTTTGTTTTGTTTTTCATTTAAAGTTATTCTGAAATTAAATGATAATGTTGAAGCATAAACACAGAATAAAGACACTGAAGTATAAACACACTAGTTTTCCAAAAGATGCTTCCAATAACAGATACCTCTTGCCAGTATTAATCTATTTCATTTCTCAGTGTTATACTTTCACATATTTAATGTGACTGACTGTGATCTGATGGTTCTTTTGACTTCTCATGAGCTATAATAATCAATACTTAACCATGTTTAATTTTTTAAGAAAAAATTATTATTAGTGTGTGGGTATGTGTGCACATGGGGATATGTATCCCACAGTATGTGTGTGGGTGTCAGGGGACAGCTGTTAGGAGTCTGTTCTCTCCTTCTACCATGTGGGTCCTGGAAATTGAACTCCAGTTGCCAGGTTTGGCAGCAGACTTCTTTACCTGCTGAGCTATCTTGCTGGCCTTCAACTGTATTTCCTCATTTTTTTGGCCTTAATCCTTTAATGTAACTGGAATTTATTTTGGAATAGATCAGGAGATGGAGTTCTAAATTTTTGTTGCCACAATCAGAGAGCATCTCAAAATGTCATTACTGAACTACAGATAAAGGGTTTGAGTAATATTGTCCCACTAAACCTTACCACTTTATGCCTACTCAAGTATCTGGGGCATAAAAATAACTGGTACTTATTGGATGTGTTCAAAATAATTTAACAGTCTGTTCTGTTTTGCTCGTGTTTTGTTTTGGTTTGTTTTTTGTTTGTTTGTTTTATAGCTTCCATAGAACACAGAAGATTGGTGCATTGTCTCTTGTGGGCCAACTTTGGATGAATGAATGACCTGAGAGTATGTGACAACAGATGTCTAGAGAAGCCTCTAATTCACCTCCTTAGATTCATTCTTGCTTATTCTTTGCAACTAATTATTTGCAAATTTCCACTTCAACGCTCTCTGACTCGATACCATCTTTATTCTCATCAAATCAGACCCAAGCTTCTTACTGGACTTCTGATCTCCACTTTTACTTTCATAGCGTCTGATTTCATCCCCCACTATGCTCTCCATCATAGTGCTGGTGTCTTGCTTGCCTTTCCGTCCCAGAACATTCTAATTTCTATGTTCTTTTTGATGCTAGAGCTTTCTTTCCTTTGCATTGCACTTCTACTTGATAGCCTGCTGTTCCCTGTTCTGTTTGCAGAAACGGATTTTTCTCCTGGTTCGCTCACTTCTCTGAGCCTCTGAGTCTCACCTTATCTGCATGGTTTCTCTGTCCCACCACTATGTGTGCTTTCTAACCCTCACTTGTCATTATCTGAATGTGCTTCTTATCTGTGTCCTCCACTAGGATGTTAGATCCATCTTCCCCATATAGCACGAGTGTCAGTGAACTGTTTAATGTGTACTTGGTATTCTATGAACATTTATTGTGTGAATGAATGAATAAATGGATTACAGGTTTCCTTCATAGAGTAATTTTGATTTGATATGTGGGAAACATTCTTCCACTTGCCATTCACTAAGCCAGGCCTTTGCACATTCTTAAAATAACTCTCTAAAGCAAGAATGGTTAAGATCAGCATTTTACAGATGAGGAAACAAGGCATGGAACGAGGATGAATGCTCAAGACTTGCTTGTTTCCTGAAGCTATGTGGATTAGGCACAGCATAAAAACTAGGCTGAGGAGGCTGCCTATCTGTTCCTGCGTATAGGAGTGAGCCTGCCTGGGGGTGCTCCCTAGTCCTTACTATTTGAGTTTCATTGGTTCCTAGCTTCTCAGTGGTTCCCTTCCCTTGATCTGAGGGGTCCAGAACCTCAAGAAGTTTTGCTTGATTTGGCAGATTCTTTTCGTCCTTGTGAATGCAGATGAACCTAAAAACAAACGAGTCTTTGAGTACTTCCAGATCTCAAAAGTCAATGTCCCATCTGTTCAAATCCTGAACTTAAGCTCTGATGTCAGGTATAAAATGCCCACAGATGACATAACCTTTGAAAGCCTCAAGAAATTCTGCAACAGCTTCCTCAGCAAAACTGCCAAGGTAAGCCTGCTCTCAGGTAAGTCGTGACTAGACCCTGAGTGCCTCCTTACAGTTCTGCTGGGTTTGTTCATCTATAGGAAGAGACAGAACAGAGACCAACCCAAGGTTCAACATGACACAGTCTCTTCATTTCCCCCCATGAATCACTGTAGCTTGCGGCTTCTTCTGAAGCTGGAGATATGCTGCCAATTCTTCAGTCATAAAAAATTTCCCAGGAGAAGGTCAGCTGTTCTAGAGAGCTGACTTGTCATCTAAAGGAGGACTTCATCCTTACAGCCTCTTCTCAGAAGATCCCTTTGACCTAGGGTTAGGAGAGAAGGAGTTCTATACAACTAGCAGCCAAGAGTTAGCCTTAGAGCTTGACAGACCTTGTGGACATACCAACAAAACCTCTCTCTATCACAAAAGGTCTCAGCGTCTCTGTATAAATTTAAAGTTTTTACCTCGTTAGTTTTAGGTCAATTTCTCTTTCAGTCCCATTCCTACCTTCTCTCTCAGCTCAGCCCTCTAGCCATGCACCAAGAAGGGAAGAGAAGTCTTAACTGTAGGAGCATCGCCACGTTCTGTTATCACATCTACAATATGTCTGAGACCGTCCCAAGGCTCTATCTTCACTCCAGTTACGTGCAAAATCCAACATGTCCTCTTGTGCTCCTGTGTGTGCTCCTGAAACACAGATCCCCCACCTGGCCAGTGATTTCTGTCTGATCTGCCTATTCCTAATTCTTTATTGTTTGCATCATAGCTCATCTTCTATGGCCAGTTTCCGCACCCCCCCCCCCACCTTTATGCTTCCAGTGAAAGCACCTTCAAGTCATTTCTAGATGCTATGTGGTAGGGGAGGGACAGCATCACTAAAGAGAAGGCTAAAGAGTTTGACAGAAGCCAGACAGCAAGGACTTCATAAGCATATTAAAGATTTGGCATTCCATATACTAGGAGAAACCAGATCTCCATGGTAAAAAAGAGAGTCTTGTAGGAAAGAAAGGCATAGTGAGGTTTTGAAGGAAATTCAGAGGGAATCTATGTGAGAAACACAGGCTAGCTAGACTAGGGTAGTCACAAGGAAATGGAAAAGAGAGGGTATAGACTCAACAGATACCCAGAAGTCAGTGATAGTACAGAAAAACAAATTCTAATATTCCTAAAACTTTCTTTAAGCCAGAACAGCTGCTGAATTTATTAGTTCCATCATCCATTTGCAAATTCTTTCCTGAGGTCTTTCTACATGCAGACACTTGATGAAAGAAGAAAAGAAGTCCTTTATGGCATTCTACCTAGTATGGCAGAAAAATAGAGAAAAGGAAGCAAATATTAATTCTGAAAGTAGCACAAGGGAACATTTCAAAGAACTTACAGTAGCAGGACCTCATACAATTTGGGAAATCCAAAGCATTTCTCTGAAGAACATCTTGAAGGATAAATTTGAGTTAACTGGATAGAAAGAGGGTAGAACTTGGAGAAGGCTTCCAGGCAGTGGGTAGAAGGTACCGGTCAAAAGTGGCTTAGGCTTTGGGGCAACTGATGATCAGTATAGCTAAAGACAGCCAAGAGGGAAAGTAGTGATGAACTTGGGGGACACTGGCAAAGAAACACCTCGGTCTTGACTTTCATAGTAATGAGGACAGTCATTGTTTTTGAACAGTCTAATTGAGATGCTAATGACATGAGTCCCACTGTCATCTGAAAATCCCAAGAGTTGTATGTGGATAAATTACAGTCCAGAGCTCTGACTCCCCCTCAGCACCCTGACCTCAGGCTGCTCTGGATAGTGCAGAACTATCATTGGGTTTGTGAGTATATCTGCATTGCAAATCCTTTTAAGAGTTTGTCTTTCTAAGGCAAAGCCTTTCATTGCTTATGGTGGAGGTGGGGATTCCCAGTTGCTTGTTCTTTTCCATAGTGGGGAGTGTTTAGACCTCTTGAATTTGTTTCCTAGAAACACAAATCCAGTGAAGAGATTCCAAAATATTGGGACCAAGGGCCAGTTAAGAAGCTCGTGGGGAAAAACTTCAATGTGGTTGTCTTTGATAAGGAAAAGGACGTGTTTGTGATGTTCTGTAAGTATCTCCATAGAGACAATGAAAGTCTAAGGGCTCCAATACTTTTCAAGTATTGTTTCTGAATTCTTGGGCAGTGCAGTCTCTAAGCCCATAAACTCTAAAACCATGGTGAGGGTTATCTCCTGACTCATGAAAAGATTAGTTCAGGATATCAGCAGCCATGGGCAACTTGATGCCCCAAATTAATTCTTCCCATGTATGAATACTTTCCACCTAATCCAGACCTATGGCAGTGTGTAGCAGTAGTAACATGGCTGGCTACCATGGCTTTATTGAATGCAACAGTATGTTAGGACTCAGGCTTGCTTCACTGTATATTACTGTATATGTAATAAAGCCGTTCTTTATCAATTAATTACCTACCAAATCCTCTTGAAAGTAGGTAGCTACTGCTGTGTTTCCCTGTATGGATCACTCAACAGAATCTCAGCCAAAAATGATTCTCAGTATCACTCCGTAAGTGCTAGAAACTGGATTTGACCATTTTCAGTCTGACTCCAGCACTTATATGCATACTATCATCCGTAATTCCCCTACTTCGGACCTTATCTGATTCATCCAATGTTCCTGTGAGGTAGGGGCACAAATGTTTCGTGTTAAGGATTTTGTATAGTATATGGCATGTTGCAAGCACTCCACAAATAATGACTGCTCTTACTGCATCATTGTTTCCACTGCCGACTAAGGACGGTGGTCCTTACCCATCATCTCTGGTTTATACATCAGCCTTCCCAAACTAGAGCCTTCTTACCATGAGACACTTCAGAAGGTGACTCCAAAGCTACTTCACACAGGCAAAGGTTACATTTAGTGAGCTTCTGCACCAGGCTAGGCCTGAGTGTAGCAAGGCAGTGAGGGAAGGCACATTGACTTTCTCCATAATACAGGTCAAAGTCACACAAGAAGTACTAAGAGCCCAAGTAAAGCCATCCCTGTGCTGAGTCTATCATACACCCTTTCACAATCTCAGTGAAGCAGACACTTGCCAGCTGACAGTTCGTCTGAGAGCTGTAAGGCTGAGTCATAGCTCTCTGCTCCCTTTTATCGCTGAGCTGGGGAAGCCGTTCTCTACTTCCGGACACACAGCGTTCTGAGAACACTCATTTGCTTCTGATGAAAGGCAAGAGCAGCTTCGTTTTCTTAGAAGCAGGGCTGTTGGATTGCACCCTGGGGCTTCAGCCATTATAGTCCTCTCCATGTTCCTAGCCAGGGCCTATCAGGCTCCAGCGGGTGTCTGGGTGCTGCAGGCAGGAGGTTTGGTCACCAGGGGTACTTGGTTGATAAATGGATAGATGAGCTTGCAAAAATACAATGTCAGGGCCTCTGAGGCCATTCCTCCCACAGAGTGAAACTTCTAAGTTCTGAACTTCAGATGAGGGCAAACCAGTGAGGTCTGGCTTTCCCTGTTTTGGATCTCCGTTCTGGTCTCTTTCCAAAGGGCCAGCTGTCTGGGCCACTCAAAGCTCAAGGAACTTTCCACAAGAAAGGCCAGTGTCCCCTGCCAAGGGTAGTTGTCACAATTTTAAGACATACCTGTTTAGTTTCCTGGGCATATTCTCTTCCAAGGGACTGAAAGGCATGTTCAATTGTTACATAATATATGTTATGTAACTTTATACTATGCCGTGTTTGCAGTACAATCAAACCCAAGTGACCTGTCTTCAGTTCCTATTCCCTTTGCTTAGTTTTCTGGATGACCTTGGGCAGGTAGCTTAACCTCTGTGTTAGACACAACATTTTCCCTTGAACATAACAACGGCATAGCTATTTTCCTTGGTTTTCTCTTCAGCTGCAGTGGAACACTATTCTAAAAGGAAAGTTTTTATTTTGTTTTAAAGACCATATTAATGCATGGAAAATGTTAGTATCTAGGAGAAGGACTAGGTCTAATTTTTATTCTGATTGAATTAATAGCGATCATATACTGAGATATAAAAATAAGCTATGTCGTAGCCTGCTGAGCAAACACATGGTAAGAAGACGATCCTGCTGCTATACAACAGGCGCTTTCAGAGTCCTGGACAGCAGGAGCAGAGAAACATCCTTCTTTTCCAGATGCACCGTGGTCTGAGAAATGCAGGGTGCTATTCCCACTGCTGGAAGAGTTGGGCATAAAGTATCAAAACCACTCCACAGTCATCGTCGCCAAGATCGACATAACAGCAAATGACATTCAGCTGGCAAACCCAGAACAGTACCCATTCTTCAGGCTTTTCCCTACTGACTCGCAAGAGGTGAGAGACTCTTGGGACCACACAGTTGAAAATGCTAGGTCATTACCAGGAACGCAGCTTCTCTCCAGCTGAGCCTAGTATTCTCCAGTTCCTAGTATGTTCTCATATTCGGGTGTGGAATATTTTCCAGCATATGCCACACAAATTCTAAGACTTGCAATTGTGTACAACTTACTGAAGCCCTTATTGTTGACCAATCACCATGTCAACTGGAAATGGATGTTTTGATTGGACAGAGTCACCTCTAATATTGAGGCTGAGCTCTCTGTAGTTCAGACTACAGAGAAGAAAGGACGTCTGTACAGGAATATTGGGGTGGAATGCTATTGGATAAAAGAATGTATGCTGGACATCAATAATCCTCTTTACACTTGGAAATCCTAGGTCTTGTTCGACTGTCACCAGGGCTGGTGGAACACACTCTCTATGGGACTTTGGTAGATGGAAAAGGATATCTATCAAAGAGGCATGAGGCAAGGTCCTTGTTCCAGAGATGAGAGATTGAGAGGGAAGAAAAGTCATAATGACATAGGTCCATCTATATATGCAAAGGGGAGAAAAATCTGGAGGACAGATATGGCTAAAATCTTCATGCAGACTTGGGACTCTGGAGAATAGTGGAGATTTAAATTTGATTAAAGGAGGGGTTGTGAGTTCAACAGGTAGGATGTATAGCGTAAGTGATAAGTTGGGCAGGATGACCAGAGCATTGTGAGTACATTTGATAGCATCCCAGTGCAGAAGATGCTTATAGAGAAGCTGGAGAAAATGAGGTTAGATTGACAGGATGGGGCTAAGAGCCACCAATCTTAAGTTATATGATTGAAAAGCCCCCTTAAAGGCCCACAGAGGAAAAGGAACCATTAGGAATGCTTGCTGAATCCTCCTAACACCAGCTACTCATAAGAGCAAACGTATGTGGGACTTACATGAGCCAAGCACTGCTTTAAGCACATTTTCTATATTAGCTCATTTAATCCAACAACATTGTGGGGAAGCTCTTGGAGTTAATGCCATAGAAGTTCAGTAAGGAGGCCACATGTGTAAGTAATCCTGCCAGGGGTTAGACCTATAAAGTATGGCTTTGTAGTTCATAGATGACCCATTCCTCATGTCCTCCAATGAGAGAGATTTTATCCTTATTTCAGAGCCATGGAAAAGGAAGCTCACAGAGGTTAAGGCATTCTTTGGTAGGTCTAGGTTGCTAGGAATTTGTTCCTGGGTTTAGTTTTGTAATCCTCTATGAGCAGTTTACAGGAAGAAGCCCCCATCTTAATCCTGCTCTGCCGTCTTCTTAGGCTGTCATGTATAAAGGAGAGCACACCATGAAGGGCTTCTGTGACTTCCTGGAAAGCCATGTCAAGGTTAGAATTGAGGAAGAAGATGAGGTAAGGCGCACATATACAGGCTGGGTTTTCTCTCCCCCACACAATTACCAGGAAGCCCATATAAAAATTATACCACAAGGTCCATCTATTATCTCATTCTCTCTGGAGATGGCTTTGAGGCTGCCCTGGACAACCACCCACTTTGAGTGAGCTCACTGGTTAGTTTATGGGAACTTGTGACAAGGAAGTAGAAACGGCAGTCATCAGATAACAGACTCTCAAGTGACATACAGACTTCAACATGGTTGGCCTGCTTGTCACTTTCCTGAGACGGTGATCAAATGTCTTGATGGGAGTCTGCCCTCTGCAGTTGCTGTCCTGATAGATGTGACCACAGTCTCCTCTTTCTCCAAACCATGCCACCTTCTAGAAAGTGCCATTTAAATCAGTTAGGATGCTTTCTGTTGCTAATATCAAAGACTCCACCTTGTCTGCTTCAACAGCAGTGGGTGTTTATCCCATTTACCTAGTAGGACTTTTCTCACATCTGGACCCAGTTGGCCATATCTGCTTCCTGTCTTCCTGTTTTCTTCTGTCTTGGGAGTTTTCTCAAAGCAGTCACTTCTCCATGGATGGTAAATGTTACCCCCATGGCTCCAAACTTACCTCCTCCCGGTTTAGAAAGAAAAGATCCATTTCTCAGTAGTTGTAATATGCACGCTAGAGAGGGATCTCATTAACTAAGCCAAAGTCACCTGATCTGTCCTGGAGTTGAGAACTGGGCAGCCACACCTGTCATAGAAGAAGTGTGCCCTCTGTCAAAAGGGTCAAACCCATAGGACGTTATCATCTTTATCCCTGAGGAAACATAAGCCACAAATGATTCTTTCTGGGCTGACCTAGAACAGAATTACTGATTTTCACTACAATGTTCACACGTACTTCCTTATTCTGCCTTCCCTTCCCTCTCTCATTCCCACATTTGTTTTTAACCAGCTATTATACATTGAGCAAAATGAAGTAGAAGAGGAGGAGGTGTTAGCTGAGCCAGAGATACAGCTCATAGAGAAGTTACCTGAGAAGCCGCTGCCCAAGATAGAGGACACGACCAAACAAAACAGGCCAGCCAAAGAGTCTGCTGTCCCGGGCAGTGTAAGCAAGCAGGAAGAGCCGGAGAGAAGGAAGGAAACAACTGAGAAGGAGGAGGAGGAGGAGGCTCTGCCAAAGGAACAGCCAAAACCAGAGAGAAAACTGAAAGTCAAAGAAGAACTTTAGCTTCTCCCAAGCCAGGTCCTGACATCAGTTTCTGAGTGAATCTACTCTGACCATGCCATATACTGAGTGGTAGGGTGGGTGGGTGAATGGCTAGGCAATAAAGCCTTATGAGTGTCTTTGATCTTCTTTGCTCATCTCCTCTTTTTCCTGATTGGTTCCAACTGGAAGAGCCACTTGGTCTGGAATTCAGCCAGGGTTGCAGGGGGAGCCAGGATGCCAATACTGAATGAGTGTTTGTAATTTCCTGGGCCCTCACTGACTTTCAGAACATCACTAGAGGCCAGTTGCATTGTCCCCATTTACAGATGAAGAGACGGAGGCACAAAGAGACTGACTAAGCAGTCAGAAACACACAGTTTGAGAACTGTTGAGAGTCTGTCTCCTATATGACTCTAGATTGCCTCTCTTCAGTCACTCCCACTAGTATGCAACCTCCCACTAGTTAGACCCTCAGCAGCTGAGCTAGGTCTGGCAGATGAGCTGTAGACAGGCATGCACCATAAGAGATCCAACGCCAAGCTTGTCTCTAGATGTCTACACTGCAGTAAGTGACCCACCATCATGAAGTTAGGACAGAATCGTCCTCTGTGGCCTTGTCTCTTACTACTATAAACTTGATGACCTACACAATTTTACCCATTTCCCCTCCATGGTCCTCCACACTCCTCTTTCCACATGACCCCACCTACATCCTATGTGACTCTAGGTGCTTCCTTAGATGAGTCCCATTCCGTCCTTTCTTTGTGACTGTTCACTACTGTCCATATGACTCTATACCAACCTCTCTGCATTGCTGAGTCACCCATGGTTTCTTGAGAGAAGAAGACTCGGAACTCATCTGTCCTCAATGTCCTCTCTCCACTTCCTCCTCATACTCTGTATTCCTAAAGCTATAGAGATTTAATTTTAAACACCATAGCTCTCAGTACTTACTGTATCTACCCTGTAACAGATATCTTCATGAAATTTAGAATATTTCCAACTTCTCTATTCCTGCAAAGTCTTTTTGTTGATTGGCTGGTTGGTTGGTTTTTTTTGTTTTGTTTTGTTTTGTTTTGTTTTCATGACAGGGTTTCTCTGTATAGCCCTGACTGTCCTGGAACTCACTCTGTAGACCAGGCTGGCCTCAAACTCAGAAATCCTCCTGCTTCTGCCTCCCAAATGCTGGGATTAAAGGTGTGCGCCACCACTGCCTAGGCAAAATCTTGAGAAGCCTAGCATTATGGATCTCTCTTTCTCCTCAGGTCTCCCAGTTTCCACACACCATTTGCACTTCTTGAATATTCTTTGAACATAACACATTCTCTCAATGGATTTGTTCCCTCTACCCAAATGCATGCCTTCAGGATACTTACCCCCCCCACCCCAACTTCACTCATCTCTGCTTTCTTCATTTGAATCTCAAATGTAGCCATTTCTAAGAGGCTCTCCAAGAGGATAATATTTGAAAGCATTTTGCTATTTCACCAAGTGATCACACAATGCCTGTTCCTGCCACTACTGTGACCAGCTCCATGAATACAGATACTGCCTTCTTAGCGACTGCTGTGTGTTCTACATGGTACATTGTAGATGCTCAATAAACATCCTTGGATCAAATGGAATAATCAGATAGCACCCTTTCTCTCTAAGAGGCATGATCTCATGGGTTATCCCCAAAGGAAGAGGTAAAGACATTGTCCCAGGTCCATGCTGGTCTCTGCATTGGCTGTTTCTAACATAGACTTAATAGCTCAAAACAACATGGATTTATTCTTGCGTACTTTGAGAGGCCAGAAATCTGACATCAATTTTATGGGTTAGATTTGGTGCACACCTTTAATTCTGATGTTTAGGAGACAGATGCAGAGGGACTATGATTTAAAGCCCATTTTGAGCTGCCTGGTTAAAACCTGTCTTGATGATTTGGTTTTTTTATGTTGGGTTAAAAGTCAAGGATCATCAGGGTTGATGCATTCTAGAGGAAACCTTTGCCTCGCAGCATTCCCTGGCTTGTGTTTGGTCCTGGGATCACTGTGACCTTATGCCCCATCCTCATATTCCCTCTGTGTTCATCCTATAAGCACTGTCATGCTTGTATCCATCCTTTAGGACCCCCTACTTCCCCCATCTCTCCTCGACTCAATCACACCTGAATAGTACTTTTCACTCTGCAAAACAATTTCTGTGGGTCCAAGGGATTAGGATGTGAGCATATTTGGGAGGTGTCATTATTCAATGCTTCATATTCACACTTTTTCTGATTCACTTTATTGGGGGGATATTCTAACTTCTAAAAAGCAAGGGGTATTGTTGTAGGAACTGTGCACCCTAAATTCCCCCATGAACCTCTGTGCTTTCCACCCATCACACAAGGCAAAGGCTATTTGTATTTTTAGACCTTCCAGAAGCAATTCTCACTCTCAACCCCCCATCCCTAGCTTACTTCCATCTAGATGAAGCAGGGAACAGCCTGAGGCCCTGGAACTCACTGGAGCCAGATGCCTCTATGGGGTTGTGTTTTAGTATTCAGGACACGATGCAAGACTCACCTGCCTTCACCTCACAACCATGTGGCTGCCTGTCAGAGAAGGGTTCCATGGGGCTGCTGAGACTAACTCATGTGGAACAGAGCCCATGACAAGCAGTGACATGGAGAACAAGGCTCCAGTGTACATGCTCCACAGGTGCACCTGGAGCCTCAGAGATGGGAAGAGGAGAAGTTGCAGAAAGATGGGGTATAGATACCGCTCTGTTGGGAAGGGCTTCTCTCAACTAATTTTCTGATCCTCCCAAATGTATCCACCTGTCATTTGAACTTCTTTTATTCTGTCTAATCAGCTTCTCTTCCCTACTGAAAAAGATGGAACCACTTGTCAATATAAGAGTCTTCAATGGCTAAGCATGAAATATTCTTTACCCTTCAAGACATAAAATTGACTAAGGGATAAGTCTGAATAAAATTGGGCTTCAGTTTGCAGTTAGCTAGCACTAGCTAGGTATGTAACCTTGAAGGTGTTACTCAATTTCTCTGAACTTCAGTCTGCTCTCCTATTTTACTGAGATAATGTAAGCACACATACCAGGCATCTCTTGTCACCAAATGAAGTTTCTGGAACCAGAAATGAGTTACATCTAATTGGGTTGTTGGCCAAAAGAGTTCCATGGAAACTCTCAAACAATCCAGGCTATTGGCAAGACTTTTGCTGTCTCTCCACAAACTGACAGCAAGGCCCCACTGCTGAATACAACACCTACACAACTCACTGAACACAGAGAAGTTGAATTGGTGCCTACATAAAGCCTCTACCTCTATGGAGTCCATAATGGTATTCATGGTCCTAGAAGATACTCTGCACTCCACCAAAGGAGAAAAGTAAACACTAAGCCATCCATAAACCCTTTGATCTATAAGAGTGGCCTGCCTACAAGGTATGCTGGTGTAATAATGGCACAGAGCTTATGGGGTAACCACCCCTATAATGATGAGTTAAGGCCCATTCCATGAGATCAACCCCATAATTAATAGTGCTTAGGTGGATGAGAACCTGAGACCAGATGCATCAGGGACATAGGGGAAAACTACATGTGACTGATCTGCTAAAAGAACATAGCAACAAAATAGCTCCTAGTGACATTCCTCCACATTTATAAATCAGTGCCTTGTTCATCCATCATCAGAGAAACTTCCTCCTCAGTAGATAGAAACAAATACAAAGACCCACAGCCAGACAGTATCCAGAGAGTGAGATACCTTGGAACACTCAGCTCTAAAAAGGATGTCTTCATTAAATCCCTTTCTTCAGGACTCATGAAACCCTGCAGAAGAGGAGTCAGAAAGTGTAAGAGCCAGAAGGGATGAAGGACATACAAAAATTAAAGCCTTCAAGTCACAACAGGGAGGAAACACATATGAAATCACAGAGATGGTGGCAGCATATGGACAGAACACTGTCCATGGAGTAAGATGGAATGGGCAACATGCATGTCTTTGATGGTGTGGAGAAATTTCAGAGGAATTGGTGTGCTTTCAGAAAGCACACTGGTGAGAAATAGAAAGAGTAGATACATCCTTTGAGAAATTTGGTCACAAAAAGTAGAGTATAAAATAACTTGGTATGTGTGAGATCAATGGAATGTCTCTGTAGGTTAGGCTGTATAGGAGACAGGAATATGTGAAGGAGAGAAGGAGGAAGAAGACATTGGAGCACCCGAGAAGTGAGGGACCTTCCTCACAAAAGTAAATGATGTGGCCTTCATCCAAAGGAGAAGAGAGGCAGGTCGCCCAGTAAGATGAGGAGCAATATCCACGAAGGATGGCAGGAAGTCATCCCATGTGCATAAATGGAGAGAGAGGTAAGGACTGAGCAAAGAAGGACGAGCAAGAAAATGGCAGATGTGCATACATTGAGGATGGCCCAGCTGTGGTGAGTAAAGTGTGGGGTGTAGTATTATGATGTTACAGCAAGGCTAATGGCAAAGTGGCACTACCATGAACAAGATAGCTTGCTCTGTTTGCAAATAAGGGGACATGGCATGCCATGGAGGCCATGGGAACAAAAAAGGAAGGTAGATAGATGCAGAATTACCAGAGGAGCCAGGAAAGAAAGGAGTAGGAGGGACAAGTTTACACAAGTCTTTGTCCCCCCTCCCCCGTATGTACATGTGCATGCACACAGTGAGCTAGTGTGCATACATGTGCACATGTGCATGTAAAGGCCAATCTTGGGTGTCAGTCTTCAGGACCTATCTACCTTGCTTTTGAGACAGAATATTTTACTGGCCAGGAACCCATCAAGCAGGTTATGCCGGCTGGCCAGCAAGCCCCAGGAATAGGCATGGCTAAGCCTCCCTGTGCTTGTACAAGAGCACACCATCACACCCAACTCTTTATCTGTGTGCTGGGGGATTGAACACAAGTCTTTAAGCTTCTGTGGCAGACACTTTAGTGAGTAAGTTACTTTCCTAGTACCCTACTGAGGATTCTTCAGGTGGGGAGGGAGGGGTAGGATAAGCAGGTTTAGGACTGGTTGGTTTCCTGAATTTCAGTGGACTTGGGAAATAGCTATACATTCAGTTTTCTGGTTCTCAGCTGGCTTCCCGGGGGTGATCACAGCAGGAAATAGTAGCCCTGTGTGACAG